ACTATAAAATGAGAATGACTATGCTTACAAAAACTCTGCTGGTTAAATTATTGAAAGTCTTTAGCTGAATTTTACTTTTGTTTATCTGGTATTATTTTTAGCAGCCTGGTAAAACAAACAAACAAACCCAAGTTTAATTTTCCTCCTTAGTACAGTGCCCTGTATCTACTCTTCAAATAATGGTTTTACAACAGAAATATACCAGGATACCTCTATTTAAAAATTATATGAAAGGATATCAGAAATTAGTATGTGATGAGAGTGTATACAGTTATTATATAATAAATCTTACATAACTGTATGCTTACTGCACATAAATTAACTTTAAGGAATATCAATTAGGTCAAAGTTGTTAGAATGTGAGAAGCACTGGGCAGATATGTACTTATAGAAATCTTCTGGCCTATTATTGTAGAATCGCTGAAAATTTGCATTGTAATTTACAGATAATCTAAACTGGCACATTCTAGATATATCAGATAATATAAGGGTTATAAGGAAAAGGCCTCCCATGATCAGGTAATTTTGGCAAGTGCTAGGATAAGCAAAATTAGCTGGGTCTCTTTCCGGGTAGACTTCCCTGCTGTGTTTGTCATGTGGGTGCAACTGCAGAACTCTTTCATTCTGGAATAAGTTTGGGGACAAGTGTTTTGTAGAATACACTCTGGAAATATTGTTCTATTCCAGGCTTTTCATGTTCCAGATGAGGCCACCAGCAGTTATGTGGTTTGCTATGGTTATCTGGAGGGTGAAGCTGAGTACAAGCCTAGGTATTGGACACTGTCTGATGTCCTACCTATCTGACCATTTATTGTCCCCCAGACGGCACCCAAGCAGTGTCAGCCAGAGAAGTGTTTTGCTCCTACATTCTGTAGGGAAGAAGATACCACACATAGCATGCCCTGGGAATCCGTCATCCAGGCTTTAGCACCCTTCATGGCCTCACTGGCTCTATGGTCCATAAATCAAATGCTGGGATACCCCGTGAATTACTAAGTCCATGAACCTTGAGTTTTTCACCCAGTGCTTACTGTGCAGTATAAAAAGATGATGATTTTTGGAGATGATCTACTAGGGTTCAAAATGCATCTTTATCACTTAGCTGTATGCCTTTGGTGCAAATCACTTAGCCTCTTTGAGCCTCCGTCCCTTACCCATAAAATGAGGCTAATACCTTACACAGTTTGGGTAACACTAGATGTATCTGAAGAGCCTGTCTGGTAAAGACAGTCAACAAATGGGACCTATTTTTATTTTTTTAACAATGCTTGAAGGAGACAAATAATCACTGTGTAGTTTTGATGTTGATCGCAGTCCTTTCATTGTAGGACATGCTAAAAAAATTTTTTTTTGCAATTTTGCTAATAGAAACTACCTCTCCTGCTTCTTCTTTTTTTACTCTCCGGTCCTTGGGTCTCTGGTGACCTTGGTGCATGTCCTGTATTGGCACATCCTGTGTCCTATTCTTGCACACACTCGACACTGTTCCATATTGGACCAGTTAGTTTCTTCCATCGGGGTTGATGCATGACTTGCCAAGAAGTCTCAACTTCTGCTGTAGTAGGAGAAAGAAGTCTTCATCAACTCTATTTTATTTCTCACCTGCACTAGCTATTTCTGTTTCTGTTTGCTGCTGCAGGGATCCTTGTGCAGGTTGAAATCGCAGCTCTCTTATATTTCTACAAGCACCTATGTAGGTGCATGTCGGAAAATCCTTTCTTCACTCCAGCAGAAAGGATTTCACAGAGTACCATGGCTCCTGGCAAGGAGAGAATGACTTCCAAGCCAAGTGCTACTTGAAAGAGGCACTCCCCCATCACTTAGAAGACTGTACTCAGTGGTTACTGCTTCTGACACATTTTCAAATGGACCCCCCAGTGGCTGCAGCTGTGATTAAAAGCTGTCTGCTCACTGCCTCACTGGGGGTTTGCTGTTTAACCATGTCATGCATGCATGTATATATATACTACAGCTGCATCATGGAAAACGTAAAGTGTTTTGTAAGAAGAAAAAAAAATCAAATGAGTACTTGAATGAGAAACTCCTGAATTTTCTAAGCTTAAGACAGTGAGAGGCACTAGTCAGGAACCTAGCCATGTATGAGGTACATAAACGTAATTTAAGGAAGAAGAGCCGGTGGTCAGTGAATATATACCTTCTGCGAGTACATGCTTTGCACACATCAGCCAGACAGAACATCTTAGAGATTTAAGTGCACTTGAACTCAGCAGCTGCATTTCAGCTCCTCTCTGTGATTCAGAATTCAGTTTGACCCTTCACAAATAAAGCATGAGTAGAATATCCTTTTTTAAGTTTACCCAGATATTCACTGACACCTTCATAATCATGTTTGGCTTATCATAAGAATGCTGTTCTCGACATAAATTTATCATTAATATTACCTTAAAAAAGGCTCGCACGGGCAGTGCAGCCACAGAGACTGGGTGTCTCAAAGGCACAAGTCACACCCCTTCCTTTAGATCAGAGAGATTGAGTGTTTAAGCTTTTATAAAGTAAAAAGAGTATACTAGAATGTAAACCTGGGCTCTTCACATCATGAGATGAGTATCCTTACAAACACCAGGAGGTAAGGTGGGGAGTGTGGTTCCTTCTCCTACCCCACCCCGCCTGTCAAATGGATCAGAAGAACTCAAACACACATTCGTTCTTAGATATACAGGAAAGAAATTTGGAAAAATTTTGAGAATTATGTCTCCTTTCCCCTCTGCCTGCCTCCTCCCTGTCTCCCAAGTTGCAAGCACTCCAGATCCCAGCAACCAGACCCGGTAAACAAAATGCCAATCTATCACCAGCAAATTTAGGCTGACAATACTGTGAATCGACCGCATTGATTACATTGATTATATTTCAGATATTTACAATACGGCGAGACAAGCCTAATTTATTTTCTAAAGAGTTCAAGGTAGGTCTCACCATTTCAGAGGGGGAAAAACAATGGGAAAATGTTTGTGGTTGCTATCTGCAATCATCTGATGCTGACAGAGAGTAGTATTTTATTTAGTAATTAACAGTGTAAAGGGGAGAGGAGCTGTCATGTTGGTTCTTAAGCTGGGGAATGTGATGAAAGATGATATCTGCGATCTCATCCTTTCCACTTGTTTAGGATTGTCAGGATGAGAAATGTCAGCATTATGAAAGCTCGGCTCTGCTCTTGATATGATAAAACCCTTCAAAAGCCAGTCTTTCTCTCTCCCTCGTCCCCCTCCTTTTTCGCTCTCTCTCTCTGCACTTGCTTTTTTATTTATCCTGTTTTGTTAGATGGCAGAAATATAATTCTTTTCTTTCTTCCTATTATAAGCCACCATTTTTGTTTTATTATATGTTTCACAACCCCTAATGCCCCACTGAAAATTACCTTGTTAAATGACAGTGTTTCAAAGCCATGAATCCTTTCCACCATTCCCTCAGAGGTTTGAAACAGTCAACAGACTGTAAAGAATAAATAATAAAAAAGTATTGATTATTTTGATGACTGTGAGATTCAATTAAGTATTAATTTTGCCCTCCAGTGGACCTATCAAGGTATTCAAAAGGGAGGATTCGGCTCAGCTAAATGCGTGCTGAGTGCTTCAGCCTTAAATAGGGAGAAAATGTGTTTACCTACAGTATTTGAAGAAGAAGTGCATTGATGCACAGGGTCCAATATTTAAGTGCTGTGCAAATTAAGCCCTGGTGACAGTGACATTGTTTTCAGTGGTATGAGTATTGACTAAAGAAGTGCATTTGATGACAGCTTAAACTATTTGTATTGATTAACATTTTCATAGATTATCATGTGTCATATCAAATTCACTTTTCAGGCATGAATACATTAAAAAAAAAAAAAACCCACAGGCATACCGCAACCAATGTAATGATGGGACCCGGGAGCAGGCTGCCCCACCTGCTCCTGTGCTGGTCACCTGTTTCCTGCTCTGGAACCATTTAGGCATGAACTTGGCAATAAATAGCTCCTAGATCACGCAAAAAGGGCACTTCTTGCTTTTCCTTTCCTTCTGCATCCGATATTTGTGTCCAAACAATATTGTGCTGCTTAGTTTGCAAATGGAATAAAAGGCTACACTCGGAAAATATTTCTGATCCTAAAATGCCCTCCTAAATGAGCTGAAGATAAGACAGATCTAAATTATCAGGGGGGAAAGTTTGCCCTCTTTTGGAGGTGATTTTTTGTTTTCTCTTTCTTTAATGCTCTGGGCGTAGAATGCTCTAGGTATCCGAATTATTGAACACAGTTTGTAAGTATTTTCCCAATTCCTTTAAAAATTTTTTTAAACCAATCTTTGTATGTTTTTGTTGTGTATTATTTGCTTTAAAATGTTCATTTGATTGGGGTCAGCTTTGGTCCACAATCTGGGACCAGTGGAGTCAACTTCTAAGGGTGCTTATAGAATTTACATAAGAAATATCTTTTATTCCGTTGAAAGCGTTTTGAGGTCTCTTTTCTCCCTATCTCTTTTCTCTGCTCTTGGGATAGGGTTTAATTGCTTCTCCCCTGGGGAGAAGGCTTCTTAAAATAGCCTGTGGTTCCTCCATAGGGTGCTCCTTCCTTTTTAGTATGTTGCTGAAGTACAAACCCAGCACTTTCTTTTTTTCTTAGTGCATTAAAGACAGAACAAGGTGTAAAAACATTCACACAAAAGCACATCCCACAATTAAAGCTGTGTTGGTTAGGTTGCTTTCAAAGAAGTTTTTTTTTTTTTTTTTCCTTCCCTCCGAAGCCTCCTGAATCTCTCACATGCTAGTTGAGCTTTAATAGGGTGGGGAGTAATGGAGAACTCATCGGATCTGTAATAGCTCTTCACTTGACTGCAGCCAGCAATAACAGCGGGAGCAGTCAGAGATAAGAGAGAGAGGAGAGAGGGAGAGTGTGTGTGTAGAAGAGAGAGAGAGGAGAGAGGGAGAGGGAGAGAGAGGACACGCACTCTAAAGCTGCCACTTTTTTTTTTTTTCCTCCCCTTCACTCTTTTCGCCCATCCTAGGATCCAATGATAGCTGGACAAGTCAGTAAGCCCTTGCTGTCAGTGCGGAGTGAAATGAATGCCGAGTTGAGAGGTGAGGAAAAGGCTGCTACTTCAGACAGCGAGCTGAATGAGCCCCTGCTTGCGCCTGTGGAATCAAATGACAGCGAGGACACTCCCAGCAAGCTCTTCGGTAAGTCTGTCTAGGTATTTCATTTCAGCCCTTCCATGTTGTCCGGAAGAGCAATCCACCCCCCACGCCCCCCCCCCCCTTTTTTTTTTTTTTTTTTTTTGCTGTTGTTCATTCAATTTTCTTGTAAGTACTGAAAAAGGAGCTTCGCATCTTGGAGGTGCTAAGCCACCGAAGCTGATTCCAGCTGGCTAGGAGGATGTCCTCCAAACTTTTACCAACAAGGAACTTATTCGCTGCCTATTTTGACTTGTCAAATATTGCTGGAGTCCCCAGGCTGGAAATTATTTGAAAAAAAAAGAAAAAGAAAAGAAAAGAAAGAAAGTGGTAATAATAATCAGGAAATCAGTTCCATTGTGAGAATTGGTTAACATTTATTGAATAAATATCGACTCAGTTTCGGGTTGCTTCGCAGCCTTTTGTTAAGGGGAAGGTGAGTAAAGAGTTATTATCTGTCGTCTAAAGACGGGAGAGGAGAAACTGAAAAATATCAATACAAGTCGTGCTATGCCAGGTAAACAAAAGTGGCTACGGGGATTGCTCAGAGAAATAACATTTTGTCATCACAATCAGAATGAATATTTCTTCTTTTAAAAGGGTGATGAGGAAAGAGAACAGGTCCTTTGATTCTCTCCCCTGTCCCAACCCCTCTCCCCTGCAATGTTGTGTTTATAGCTTCATGCTAAAAGTGGAGGCAGCCCAGGACCTTTCAGGAATCTTTGTTTCATAAACAAAACAAGAACAAGCAGAGTGCCACTCCAGCAAAGACATCTGTCATTCAAACAGATGACGCTCTGTAAGCCAACTCAAGCAACTGTGATCTCTAATCAGAAGGGGGAGGGGGTTGTTGAGGCTGGTGCCTGCGTGATGGATGTTGATAGATGTCTCTGCTGGAGAAGCACTTTATGGTTTGGAGTGACATTAGGTTTTCAGAACAATCGTTCCTGAAACATTTGCGTTTAATTATTTTCAAGTGTGTGTGCGTGCGCGCGCGCCCGTGTGCGTACACACGAACACACACGCATATACATATATGTGTATACTAACTTGATGTATATATGTATCAGGCAGAGAACTGCTTAGTCTCAGGCAAAAAAAAAAATAGTCATGCGCCTGAACTTCAATGAAAAATGTCATTGCATAGACTACTTTGTATAAAAAGTCATTAATTCCGTTTAAAACTTAGGCTTTCTTCATTTATTTGTTTTAACCTGTAGAAAGAAAGCCTGGAGAGTTTGGTAACTCTAGGCCAGCTTCAACAGAAGAGCTCTCCCCTAATGCTTACTCAGGCAGACATTGGAGGGGTGTTGCTGAGAAACTTTGCTTTTCAGATTTTATGTTGGCAAAATACTGTTCTATACTTAAGAGATTCCAGTTTCAAGAAATTCTGTGATGTTACCCTTTCTTTGAAAAGCTGCAATTCCACCTCAGTCATTAATTTTCCAAACCTATGCATTGAGGATTTAGCATTTTCACACTAAAGAAATATTTTGTTGTAGTCCAAGTTTTTATCCATAATAGGAGGAGTTATGTCCTAAAATAGTCTTTTCATTTTAGGAGGTTAGTGGGAGAAATCAGATAAAATTATAAATTACAGGAAGGCAAAAACCATGCTCAAGCCCCTCTGATGTTGAAAGTACTAAGTAAACACTCTGACTTTTAAAAAGTCATCAATTTTGAATTCAACAGATAATAAATTATCATTTGAGCTACAGATAATAAATTATTTGTCTCTAAATTTTGCATACATTTATAAGAAAATAAATATATTTTGTAGACTTGAGCTTGGAGCTCCAACTTGTTTTCTTTCAAATAATCCAATGGAGGGGTGATTAATTTGGCTTCTCAACATTTGTTTAGGTTTCCCAATGTTGAATTCTGTTGTAGATTTGTTATGTCACCTCTCGCCAATTTGCATGTATAGAGAAATAAGCTTCAAGACATCCAAGAGTGTCCGAGATATTTGAATTAAAAGTTTATTGAAAATATATTTGAAGTGAAATCTTTACTAAGTGAAATCTTAATAAATGGGTTGCTATTTACTAAGGAATCATAGTTTAATTTAAAAATCATAGTGGATTTTAGAAGGCACCCAGCCACCTTTGTGTTGAAATTCTCAACTCCTCACTTCATGAGAATGAACACAGCAAAATCTGCATCTTATACCTCATATTCCTTTTGTACTCACTCAATTGTCTTCGATTTCTAGACTGCTTTTCAAACACAATGTGAATATTTCACAGTTTCCAATTAGTAAAGAAGAAACCAGTGGATTAACAGTTTTGGAAACTTGAGGAAAAAATTGGAGACAATTGAGAAAAAGACTAGAAAGCAGCTCAGGAGGAAAGAACCCTGATTTTCTTGTATGGTTTTCTTAGCTTTTGCTTCTTTTATGCTCTTACTTTTTAATATTACTAGGGGCCAGCCTTAGGAATTCTAGTTTATGTAACTAACTAAAACTTTCCAGTATAATTCATTCTTATAATGTTAAGCAACTCTGGCAACACAGTTTAAGGAACCATTATTTTATTTGACATGCATATATGTTCAAGTCTTTGTTTTTGTTTTTCATATAGTTCTAATTATACTCTTCACTTGATGATGAAGAATTGCATTCTTCCTGAATAGTTGAGAGCATCCATGTTTTTCTCTAAATAATGATTTTCTAATATTTTCTCTCTCTCTCAAACTGCCATTCTTGTATCTATACATTGCATTATTGAAAACTATGCTTCTCTAATGAAATGGGTAGATCAAGACAAATCATGTGCATCTTGATATGTTTAGTGTCATGGGGAGACATTAACCGACAACAGGAGACAAGAGGAGCTCCGTTTTTTATTGTTCCTGAAATTTCAGTGTAAATAGATGTCTTTGAAGCCTATTCCCCTGTCTGAGTCTTGTTCAAATTAGCAGTCCAGAGGACAAGTCTGTTTCTCTCACAGTATGGCACCTTCAGCCCAAAACTGCAGGAGAAAGGCTAATACGGATGCCCTCTATGGATAAACAAAGGAAATTCCAGGAACCATTGGGCCTTTTATGCCTCTCCTTAAATTGCACCTCTGCACTTAACAGCATCCAAAGGGAAACATACTGTGCAGAATGTTTCAGTGCTCTGAGCAGCTCAGAATACCAGAAGGAGAAACAAGAAGCCATATGCCAGCCTAAGTAGAAAGTTCAGAAAAAGGCCCTGGTGTTTTATAAAGTAATTACATCAGAGGTAACATTTTGCTTAACTTGAACAGTCATGGAAACTAAAGTACACTTAGGAGAGATGGATCCGCATTTCATTGAGAAACATGTGGTTAGGTAGTTCTCTTGTGATGTCATTAGGTGGTGCATTATTTATTCTTGTAAAGTCTTTAGAATAACTTATCTCCTTTTTCAGCTCATGACTGTATTATGCTAAGCTCTGAGCCATAAGACACAGTATGGATGAGAACAGCTTGCGTGTTGGGAGCACTCGCAGAGAAACTGGCGTTGTGTCTTATTACCGTGCTGTAGCTGTGTGATCAGATGAGTGATGCCATACAGGGCCAGTCATTTAATATGTGACTAGTGATGTACATACTGGAAACCACTCTCAAAACTGGCCTTTGGCAAACAATCTCCAAAGGAAGAGGTTGCTGTGTTTCTCTAGTGACATTTATACTACTCGTGTCAATGTGGTGCTTCACTTTTAGTTATGCCCATCAAGAATTCAGTGTTCCACATTCATTCAAGTTGGATGCTAAAATTCAAATGGTAGCATCAACAACTTGGTCAGGAAAATGGCCTCAGAAAGGATAAAAATAATATATATCCCCGGGAAAAAAATATCTGTACTAAAGTTTTCCTATGCACTCTCAGCAGAAGAAGTGAGATCTCATAAAACGTGCCCTAAATATTTTCTCCCATATATATTTGAGATTTCAAAGATGATTTATTAACAGTGTTTCTCCTGGGAAAATTTTTATTGTTTCAAGTTAAACCTCATGATTGCTGTTCTTGAAGTCCCAGCCACTTTGGGTGGCTGTGTTAGTCTCCATGGCTTACAGTATAGCTATGCTATACTATATGTGAATTGAGCATACAGCTCAGAGACTTGAGCTGAGGTGGAATCACAAAACGGTTTATAAGTATTGCATCCGAAATAAAAAATTTGTGGTTGGTTTTCTCTTATAATACTGTATTTTTCTAGACTGAAAGAAATTGCATGCAATGATACTTGTAAGAGTGGATATTTTCAATGTCATTTATCTGTGAACTGTTGGAAAAGGACTGAAAGTTGGCTCAGTGATTTCTCCGTTGCTAGCGAATGTACCACCTATCCTGTTTTTCTTTTCCTTCCTGTGATCTTTCTCACGGAAACATGCATTATAAGATTTTTTTTTTTCTTTCAAATTGCCACCCAGTTTGACTTGATTAGAATTTATGGCAGTGGAGTCATTTTCAATGACAAAAGGATAAAGGACTAAATTGTCTGTCACCCCTTGAGACGGTGGTCTCTGCAGGTCAGCGTGGAGGTCATTGCAGGGCATTCTGGGGACTGCACTTCGGGGTGATGCTGCCTCTCGCCTGTGCATAAGTGAAGGCCGCCTTTATGGGATCACTGTCTTCATTACTTTATTTAAACGTCTCTCTCAAGGTTACAATACCTTGGGTATTTATAATGTTCTGATTAAATATGCTGGAGCCAGTAATCAGTACATAGGGCTTAAGCCCAAGAGGGATTTAGTTGGGAGTTGATGAGGAAAATTCTCTAGAGAAATATATTTATTTAAAATATATATTATGCTTCTATATTTTTAAAAGTTTCTATATCATATCAATTGAAAATTCATACTGAATTCACTGAAGAAAGTGTGTTTTGCTAGGGAGACACTAAAACAGCATGCTTTTTTTTTTTAAAATCAACTAAATAATTTAAGTAACAGATTTATGCAAAAACAGTTATTTAAAAGAAATCAGTAGAAACCTGCATTTGTGTAAGTAAATAGGACACACGATAAAGTATTTGTCAA